TTGGTAGATGAATAAAAGGAGGTTATGGAGGTTCATACTTGAAGTTAAAGACTTTATTAGGACCAATGGATTTGGAGGGTCAGCATAAGTTCAAACACTGAAACATAGGTGAAGCTTGATTTTCGAAAGGAGGTGCTAATTGTGGGTGATGACTTGTTTCTTTGCATAATGATGATGATGAGGGTTTTTCGTGATGTTATTATTCATGATATTTTTGGCAGTTCATTTAGAGTTATCAAGCCTTTATTAGCATACTGTAATATTTTGGTTCCAAAATAAACAGTATATATGACACCATGTAGTATATGAGTGCTTGAAATATAAATAATTTTATAACAAAAAATGAAAAGGTAAAAACATTTATATTCGTATTGTGAAGTTATAAAAATGACTAGTCATCAAACTAACAAAAAACTAAAACATCAAACCTTTTATCCATGATGACTGAAAAAAGAGAATAAAAACCAGACAAACCATTTAGTGTACAGCTCAAGGTCATACTTACCCTTTATTGAACCACTCCATCAACCTTAGAACTTTAAATGACTAATAATTGATTTGTACTGATTATATATTTTAGCACAATTTCAAATATAATCTTATCCATCACCCAGTGACTTTATCAACCTATGCTCTCGAAACGATACTTGATGAATGAAATATAATCTTAGCTTAACTATCAATTTCATTTATATGTAATTTACCCAACAGAAACTCGTATCTAACACATAATTATTGGGTTTGGTGAAGAATGTCGATGATTGTGCTGACGAATCGAAATTCTAAGAATTGAATCTAAGCGCATCAAATCTAAAGTTAGGATTCGAATCTTACGGATCCGCGTGACAGAGATCATTTTTTGGTCTTTTATGTGTCCTGAGAACACTCCTCGGGAGAGACCAAGGGCAGACTTCATGTTAGAACAAGGGGTAGAAGCCACTTGTCTGATTTCAATGTCAGTTTATGAATTGAAATTCTGTTTCATTCAAATTTCTATGACTTCACTTCGCTTTGCTTCGTTCATCTACTTTCGCAAATTTGTATGTCGTCTCATATTAAGTTGCGTGTATCCTCTTATCTCTGCCCCGCTTCCCACTCATCTTTGTGGGCGACTACTACTCGGGTCTCCCTCAGAGTCTCACGCATGACGAATCTTGGGAAAGAACAAATGATAAATTGTGTTATGGAACACTATCTTCGATATTCTTTCTTAGAACGTCATACATATTTTCTCTCTCTTTCTCATGTAGTTTGGCGGAGACTTCTGAGTGAATCACGTATGGGACTCCTTACGAGTCGGTGTATTTGTAGGTTACAACAGGGACCTAGATGAGGTGTTAAAGCAGGACTCCCTATAGGATTAGATAACGTATGTTTTGGTCCACCTACACCCAATCCATATGAATATATTTTATTCCATTAAAGAATAACATAATAATTTCTAAATTCTAGCATAATTTTTATAATATATAAAAATATTATAAGTAATAAAACAAAAAAAACGACCGATCGACCGACCGGTAATTGCGGCCGTGCACGGTGGCGGCCGGCGGGAGATTTTCAATGTTTTGGATTTTTTTGAAAAAAATGTCAAGGACAAAACGGTCCAAGAGGGCGGCATTCGAATAGCATGCATGTAAATGAGCCCATATAGATAGGGCTGGTATCGGTTCGGTTACCGAACCAATAAGACTAAACTGATACCGTACCGATTATTTCGGTAACAACAAATATGAAACCGTTACCGTACCGATACTTATCGGTGTTTTTTACCGATAAAACCAAAATTTACCAATAAATATGAAATTTGATTAAGCTCGGTTCGGTAACGGTTTTTTACCCAAAAAACCAAAATTTACCAATAATGAAGCCGCTTGATTAAGTTCCAACATTCATTTACCATGTTTTAACATGATTTAAGTCCAACATTCCAATAATAACAACATTCCAACATTCATCCACCAATAATACCCAACATTTCATCTACCAATAATACAACTTACAAGAACAAACCTTTTTATCCAAACACACCTTCATGATTCATCTATTTAATAATTTCTTACTTATTAAAACGATGTTTTTTTTTTGTTAATGTGTGAGTACTTGAATTACTAATTTATTAGTACTAAGTTATTTTATTAGTATCAAATTATTAATTATTAGTATTAAATTATTAACTACTAATATTAATTTTTTTTTTTAGTTAGTTATCGGTTCGGTTCGGTAATACCGTACTTTTATAGTTTATGAACCGATACCGAACCGATAACATATCGGTAACCGATGATCGGTTACCGTTTTAAATGAGTCGGTATGGTTCGGTTTTTTTTCTCGTCGGTTCGGTACGGTTCGGTTCGGTTTTCGGTTTTCGGTCAAAAAATGCCAGCCCTACATATAGATGGTTGAAGTCCCACATAGGAAAACTTATCTCGGCCCAAGATCTTTGCTGAAAGCCCAGAAGCAATTAACAATAAGCCTAAAAATATGTCCGGTAAATTCCGCCTGCTAGCTAGCAGCCGGTTTTGCTGTTCCAAAAACTAACAAACAGCATTTATTTTATTGCGGCTGTTTTATAAAGACAAGCTCACAGTTTTACCACTTAATCTAACAACTCCCAAACAAAAAATTATATCACACCACTGCCCACTGAAACAAAAACCATATGCGTAAAGCTAAATGCATAATAATAACTATATATTTGAGTGCTCTATAAATGTGACACTCAATTAAATCTCAAAAGCAACATAACTTACTCTTCAGAATACAAATATTTTCAGCTTTCAAGATATTTTTCTTAGATTAAAAAAAAAAAAAAAANATTAAAAAAAAAAAAAAAATGTCTGGGATTGTGGATATGTGGACTAATGAACTAGCCAGGTTAAGGGACAAGGGTCAAGCCATTTGGGTAAGTGGCTCGGCTCCAGCCAGTCACGAAGCGTCTGAGCAAAAGAGCGGCAAATCCCACTGGTGGAAACCTGACGGCTTTGGTCAAGCCTTGCAAGCCAAGAAGCTTCTGTCTATGCAGTTGTCTGATGGTGCAGTTTCCATGCTTGTGGATAACTTGAGTGCTTAAAACAAGGAATTACAGAAAGAAATAATGTTGTTTGCTTCTTTCCCCTTTTTCGTTTCATTTTTTTATTTTGGTTGTGTATTTCTTTTTTTGTGAGTGACCTCGAATTGTACGAGTTTCATGAGCGTTGTCATGTTAATATAAATTAAATAATCAAGTTTTAGCAACGATTTTACATACTCTGTGTGAATTTGGTGCAAATAAAATTTGGTCAATTGGTTTTTAATTATGTTGGATGTACCTTTGAACTAGACACTGTTATAAATGAAAATCTTCCATGTTCTTTAAGCATTCATCAATCCACATCAAGCATGAGAAAATTGTAAAAAATAGTAGATAGAACAAGGCATAGAAGCAGAAAAAGTGTGTGTCCTTCATTGGTGTTTTTCCTTTTTTTACAGGGTTTACAAAATAGAAACACAAACCTATTATCACATAGCTAATGGGCTTAAGGCTCAATTTATATTTTAGGAAGGGGGCAACGCGCTCATTAAGAAATTTGGAAATAAGCTTGTTGGTCACATTACAGAGGTTGATAGGCCTGTAATCCGACCAAGAGCTTGGGAAGGGTTTTTTGGGATCAAAATGACAGAGGTGAAGAGAGTTTGAAAGTGCGTCATGGCCGATTCTTTGGGACTCTCAAGTCAGGGATGACCCATTGTCCTTAATACAGTAGATATACGACCTACGCTTCTGTTTCTCCCAAAAATAGGATTTGGAGATGTAGAAGTCTCAATTTGTTTTAATTTTTATAGAGTTTTGAATTATATGTTTTATAAAAAATTTGAGGATCAAATGTTATTTGAACAAATTGGTCTGACGAAGGGTATCTCAACTCATTTCCTCTTTCTTTTCGTCACTGTGTGCACGTGCTAGGTAGCTAGAAGTCTGCGAGCTTTCACGAATTGCCTCGCAAAGTAAAGGCCTGAATTATTGTAACAATGGAGTTTTACCTCGAAGAAGGGAAAAGGCAAAACCCTAATTGCTCGACTTTGATTCTGGTCGTTCTTGGTGTTCCACGGATTTATTTTTAATTTTTTTTTTTCCATTGAAATTCTCGGTACTCATGGTCTCCTCATTTAGGTGGGGAGGTTTAACTTTGTTATTCTCTGTTTGGTTTTGGATATTCCAGCCGGCCTTATCGATCGGAAATGTGGGGCAGCTCGCCGTGGATCTGTTAATCTCGTCACTAAAAGCTGAGAAACTCGGGTATTTGGACGATCCGAATGTGCTTCCTTGTGTTGGCAATGACGCTTATTCCTCGTTGCCTATTGGAAAATTAGCTCTCCCCCTCGAAGCTGCCTTCGAGGACTATTTTTGCAATTTTTCATTAGAAATTTATTTCGATGACTTCTTTTTGGTTTTACAATCTTTTTTCATCATATTTGTACACTTATGATTTTGCAGCATATGAATCATCTTCTCGTGCATTGTCACTTGTGCAACAGAGGTCTCCAGTTAGTAAGGTATGTGTTGTGGTTGGCTCATTTACGCGATTGTTCAATTTCTGCGTATACTACTTTTTTCGATCGTTGAACTTAAGCTAAATTCCATGAAGTTGGGTCATTTTGTAGCTCTGTTGGACACATTAATGACAATGTTTAGCTTGACCACAAGGACTAGTCATATTGTTGTGGATGCAGGGTATGATGATCGAATATGCTAAGAACATGGCGAATTTTGCTGTGGCAAACGGCAAGAAGCACATCGTCGTACTATCTACTTTGGATTTTGGTAGATGGAAAAACATTAATATGACCAGGTATTGTCTCCATTACAGATTTAGCTTTAAATTATATAGCAGAATCTACAGTTTAGTGAGTTTAGTGTGATTCCTGATGTTGATCAGGTAACAATGTTCGAGGTCTTTGTGTGCAAAATTTGCTGATTTCTTATTTGTTGCATTTCTTTCAGTTAATATTCTGCTTTGAATTATCTTAAGTAGACCTTACATAAATGGAGATTGTATTGTCAATGCTAGAACCAAAGATTTTCAGATTGCAGTATATTCATATGTAGTTTAATTCGGATTAGTTCGATGGAACTGTTATGTACTAATTTTATGTGTATGCTTGTAGTGCCAAACTTTATCCAGATGAGCTTTAGTGAAAATCCTTAATCTCTCAGATATTTAACAGCGGCTTGCAGATATACTACTTATCCAGTTCAAGTTTGGATGGGACTGATGCTGCCTGTGAAAATCTTGGGTGGAATAGACTGCAAGATTACAATCCTCACCAAAGAACATGGAAATATCTTGAGACATTAGCTACAAATGGTTCCACTACCGATGAAGATTTTCCTTTTGAGGAACTTGGAGATGAAGATTATTATCCTAGTTTGCCCTTTGCTGCATTATTTTCCTGCTTTAAGGTCCAATTCTCGGTTCTTTGTTTCCACAAAAAAGAAAAATAAAAATGAAGATATTGGTTTTCTTGGAAATATCCAATTTATCTTAATTCTAACAGTACATATATTTTGTTTTCTAGAAAGCCCCTCTTCTTATGTTGTGTCTACTTCTAACTGCGGTCTGTGTGCCCAAGCATAATGAATGGTTATTAATATTATCTTGCCTTTAACAATTCTTATGGTTGTATAGGCTAAAGGTCTAAAAGTTACTTGTTTACTGTGTTACTCCTCTGAGGGAGACAACATACCTGAAGCTTTCTCCATGGCTGAGGCAGCATGCGTACTTACTGGACTTAGCAATAAGGAGTTCGAAGGTGATTTAATTTTCACCCAATCCGTGAATCGAAAATTATCTTCCTTCTTTTTTGTCTTTCTTAATTGTTTTCCTCCACCTCAGCGGTTCACATGTTACAGACTCATATCAAACCTCTCCATGCACTTATATAATTTATAGGTCATTCAAACAAAAAATTGCAATAATTTTGTGTTGGTCTACAGAGAATTGAAGTAATTACCCATATTTTAAATGCACTTTGTTGTGGTTTCATTTGCACCAATTGACATATTATATCCAGGACCCAACCTATGTCCTTGATGTGAATTGTAGTTAAAATTAGGTTATATACAAACACACCCAAATTGTATTTCAAATGAACAAAACAAGCATTCATCGGTTATGTCTCTACATTTTACACCTCAAGAGGGGTTATTTGTTGGTGGATGCACACCTTGAAGGGGTGTTTGTAACACTTCGAAGAAGTATATATGATTCTTGAGTATTAATGCAGTTTTTTTCTTGTAATTTCACCAAATGTGATACTCCGGTTGCATCAGAATCCGACAACTCTAATTTCTTTTATTATTATTATTATTATTATTATTATTGAATCTGAATGGATGTTATTGTAAATGCGAACTAATTAATTTATTTCCTTCTTTATTTTGCCATTACTGTACAGGCAATGGTGCTGACAAGTGGATAATGCCATTCTCATGGCAGAGTGTTTATGGTCCTCCAGCAGATGTGACTCTATTCTAGCATAGGCGCAGCCTAGTTTATTTTTAGGAGTTTGATTTTTGAATTCATTGCTCCATCTTGGTGTTTTTCTCTTTTCTTTTTCTTTTTAGTTTTTGAATTATCTAAGATAAATATACTTCATAAGGCAGTGTTTTTTTTTCTTTTTTTCTTTTTTTNGAACACACAATCAGCAAACAGAACACTCAAAAAAATTGAACTCACTCTTTTATTTCAGACCAACAACCTGAAGCCCTCTCAAAAGGTCACCATCACCATCGGATCAGCACCTGGAGACCACACCCAATCCCTCCCCAACCCAGGTGTACTCACTCTTTTATTTCTCCTTTGTAGTTTGTATTAAATAATAATAATAATAAAAAAAAAAAGCAAAAGAACAAACAATGATCGAGTAATTTATCTATATTTTTTTCTTTGGGATATTGCACGAAACCCTTTATATTGAACGAAAGTGTACGTTTTTCACCTATGCTTTAAGAGCATCTCCAATGTGAGATGTTAACTTAATAAAATGTTAGTCACATCATCAAGTTATAAAGTGATTACAAAAATTACTCTTCAATCTATAATGTTATGGACTCTTTTATGCTGACATGAAAAAATAAATATCCAAAGTGTGAAGCTCACTTTCTAGTTTTCCAAAGAGTGTTTGAAAGTCAACTCATCAAAAATCTAACCTATTTTAAGCTTTTGAAAGGGATGCATTGGAGATGTGCGTTCCAAATTAAAGTCTTCTCTTTTGACATTCATATTACATAGATTTATATTCCATTCATCATTTGATATGTGTTCAAATTTAATTAATATTGAAAGTGGATCATTGGAGATGCTCTAACAATTGCGTGAAACTTTCTTAAATTTAACATTTGTTGCATGTTCTCACCATTTCACTAACATCGTTAGTGTTTTGTTGAAGGCGTCCACTTTTTTATTAACTTCCTTTTATACCCTTATCATGTATCGTGATAATCTGTCGATGAATTCAATTTATAGCAATGTTTTGCAAATTATTATACAAAATTGAATTATGATTTTTTGCTGGTATGGGGGATTGGCCTCGTTACCTTTTGCTTAAAAGAAGCATAGCTACAATAATTGATGGTGTAGGTTGAAAGTATTTTATCATTCAAAATTTTTAGAAAAAAAAAAAAAGGTTTCAAGTAAAAAAAAATCCCGAAGTTCCAAATTCCTCTCTTCCAAAAACCAAGCTCGAGAAGCTCATTCGCCGTCCGCGCCACCTCCTCCTCGCAGACATCCATGAAGAAGCCGCTTGAGAGGGACCGCAACGACTAAATGTGAGAGAGCTAAGCTGATGCAATGCGAGCAAGGGACGATGATGCTGCTGTGGACATCGACATGGACGGATTTACTATTGGCCTGGGTTGTGTACACAATAACATTTTTTAGTCTCCACATAAGAGGGTTTTTAGTTTTTATTTAGTTTACTTTTGTTTTTGTATTCAATTTCTTGACTACTTTGAGTAGATCTCTCTTTGGATTTAACTTGTTTCTCTTTTTTTTTTTTTCTAGTGTGTTTATTAATATATAGTCTATAAATATTTGTGTTTATTAATATAAAGTATATCCCGCGTTTAAAAAAATACTGATTGAAAATGTTGGAAAAGATTTGAATCATAAGGAAATTATTATCCCATCGGAATACATCATAATTCTTGCCCTGGCAATGGCTTGTTATATGCCCAGGTTGTTATCATCCTTCCACAGGGATGCATTACAAAATAGTCAAATATATTCCCACATGTCCTCAAAAGAAAGTTCTTTGCTAGAATTTTAAGGCATTGACCAAATAATGCAATGGGAAGTGATGCATAGTTAATAAAAGAATATTCATTTTAAAAGTTTGTAAAGGAAACATAAGCGGCACACGTCAACTACAAATTTGTTTCAAGTGTTATTATATAATCGTTAGTATAAAAGAGTCCATATTAGACTCCAATATCCTCATATATATAATATCAACATTTACNTATGTCATCATGTATAAAAAAATAATAATAATAATTTCACAATTAATTATAATGTAACTAACTAATTATTAAATAAGTTTGACGATAAATAACTATAAAATTATAGTTATTATTGAAATAAATAATAAAATATAATTATATATCTTTTATAGTCTAATTAATAATATAACATTAAAAAGGGATAATGTAATATATGAAATTTAATAATATATATCTAAAATGATGAAAATTTTATATATGAGACTCTGCGTAAAAATGTAATAATATTAGTATACTAGTATAAAGAAATAACTTTTTTTTTAAAAAAAAAAAATTTACTAATATATTATGTATTAGTCTTTTAATTTCTCAATTCTTAATTTGGACAAAAGAAGTATTTGTATATTTAGCCTCATTAACTTTATTTTTATTTTTAACTGTATATTATAATTTCTAATATTTTATATTCATATATTATACAAACTAAGACGATTATTGCATTTGTATGGATGACAAAATATTAGTGTTAGTTGGTAGTACTTACAATAAATTTTGGATATAAATACAAATTATAAAATTAAATTTTTTGATTAATTATTAATATCATACTTATGTAGTTACAAAAATTAAGTAATTAAATTTTTATTGTACAACTACAACAAAAACTAATAAAAAAATCAGAAAAAATAAAATAAAAATTTAACCTTTAACTAAAATTATAATAAAATAATTTATTTTTTTTTCAAGTAGCATCTTTAATTCTACCCAAAACCCGACTTAAAAATGCGGGTAACCGACTCTGCGGGTTTAATTGACATGCTTACCAATAAATGTAAATGTAGATAAAATAACTGTGCGCTCACATTCACTCGTATGTGTATTAAGAGAAATCATTTAAAAGCAAAAATTATTCTTATGTCTGCTTTATTCTTTATTCCTCCCTCCCCACTTATTTTAATTGATTACTTTTTTCTCTGGTTGTGATTTATGCCTTTTCCACCGAAGCAAGTTTCCTCCATGATATGCATTGATTCATATAATATTCTTCTCATCTATAAATTGTGATTACACACAATATATATGTTGATGTGTAGAGAGTAGTATATTTAATTTACTTGGGACAATTTAATAATTGCACCATATACTTTGATCTTATTATATACATTCGTTCTCAAGCTCTTGAGTAGATAGTAGCAGCAGGGCCGTCTCCAGAAATTTCGAGGCTCTAGACAAATCATTCAATATTCATTCTCATTATTATAAAATCTCGTAATATTCTTTCTTTTTTTCATTGACCCATCACAATCAACATCGCGGATGAGATAATACAACATTTTTAATAATTTTTACTAGAATAAAAATAAATTAGAAATTAAAGAACAATACAATTTCAATGTTAGTGAAATTAAAGAAGTATAAATAATCAAGAGACACAATTGTAATTTCGAAAATAATAGCATGGTACAATAAATTAGTTCGCTTGAAATCAATCAATCAACGAATAAATTTTTAATAAATTATAAAAAAAATTGAAATATAAATATTTTCTTAATAAAAGATCTTAATTGTATTTTTTATAATTAAAATTCCATAAAATAAAAAAAAAAAAAAAAAGAATGAGGCCCCAATTGATTTGGGGCCCTAGGCAGTGGCCTTGGGCAACTTGCCCAAGAAGCAGCCCTGAGTAGCAGTCAAATGCTATGCTGAGCAGCAGATTTTTTTATTTTTTTTGTTTTTTTTAACCTGGGCTACAAAATATGCAGTTGCTATTCGAACCGAATTATCCTCTAACATAATTCGATTTGACTTGTATTTGAGCTTGACTTGGTTGTATATTTAAACGAGCCAAACTAGAACAAGTAATCTAGGTTGTGTATCAAACAAGCCAAGTCGAACGTGTTCGCGAACAATTCAGTTGGAGTTTTGGGTATATACGAATCGAATTCAAGCTAAAAATTTTATTTGTTTCTAAAACGAGCTGAGCCACGACAGCTTGTTTATTAAATGAGCACGAGTTCGAACTTGAAATACTCAATTCGAAAAATTTAGATTGTATAAAGAAGTCAAAGTATGAAGATAATTTTTAAATTAAATATTTACATGAACCACACAATAAATAATATCAAAAAGTGAAGGTTCCATTTATAAAATAAAAATTATTTTACTTTCTAACTAGTCGTGTTTTATATGGAGCTGACTCTCCTTTAACAAAAACTTGTGAGTTTTAAACTATTTTCTTATACATATAACAAATATTTATTTTTTTTTGTTTCATTAATTTTTTAAAAAAAAAAAATGTACAAAGATAAATTTTCTCATGTAATTGAATTTTAATTAAGAAAACAACATAATTTACTAAAAGAACTACTATAAAACAGTGTAATAGTCTCGTCATTCTTGTTATATATATGACATGTCATATAAAGCACATATGTCATTTCACTGAATTTTTCAGACGAATAAATGAGATTTAGTAGTAAATTTCATATAATCAACAATAATTTATTTAAATATTCACTGAATATATAAACTTGATTGTGATATCTATAAATTCAATTACATAATTACATACTAAGTATTCTAATGAGAGTTGAACATAATCAAATATTATCTCGAATAAAATTATTCAAATAGAATATGTTTAATCAAATAGTAAAAGAAAAACAAAATGACATAAAAGGGGCATAATAATCTAAAAACAAAAGTGGAAAGAAACTAAAATCATGTTCAAATTTCACTGATTCAATGTAAAATAAATTTAACTTATTTTGGGCCAAATAAGATTAATATTGGTCTAATTTAATATAACATGATGAAATATATTTCTACTAGTATAAAATTAATAAAGCCAAAAAATTAAAATTGGACCCCAGCCCTCGGGGTGGCTCTGCCCCTGCTGAGCATGCATAAAATTGGGCTTAGTATCACACCTCTCTCAATATATATAAAGGCTTGATTTATTAAAAAATTAATATGTTTATTTTTTATAAATATACATAAAGTAAGAAATAATTAATTTATATATATATATATATATATATATTGTCATTTGTTATAAAGATGAAAGTTCTTTATAACAAATGACAATATATAACAAATGTTTATATATATATATATTGCCATTTTTTAAATTTATAATCTTAATATATTGTCATTTGTTATAAACATTAACTAAATCATAAAAATATTTCTATTACATAAAAATAAATATATTCAATGAAATAAGAAAATTTCTCTGAATCAATTAGGTAAATGAATTAAGGTACTCCTCAGGTTTATTAAATTACTTACAAGTCTGTTGAAGGCTATGAAAGCTGGATAAAAAATGAAAAATATTAGCATATGTGATGTACTTTTCTGGAGTATTTTCTAGTTGATAAGAATGGAATGCCTCCTTATAGCATCGGGACCTTGCTATTTATAAGAAGGGAGACCTTTAAAATATATTATACCTATGATGTGTGGTGTTCTCTTAGATGCAGTGACATACATGGTGACACGTGTCCTTGCAACTCAGCCAACTTGTGCAAGTGACTTATCCTTTTGGGTGGAGGGAATCGATTCCGAGTGGCATCCTTTTTCACACTTGTATTTAGTTGATTGAGGAAACCTTGCTTCTGGCTTATGTAGGGAGGCGACTTTGTTGGTCCGATCACTCTACAGTTTAGAGTGAGATCAGCGCACAAGAAGTGATTGATTTGGAGCCTGATGTCTTTTGTTCAAGTCGATGTATTCTTGGTCCTTATTGGGCTTTCGGGATATCGTTGGTACAGACTTTGGCTATGTTTGGTAGACAAATAAGTTAACTTATAGCTTATGTGGTTAATTTATAAGCTTCTTGTATTCAAATAAATTTCGTTTGGTAGGACGAACTTTTTAAAAGAGCTCGAGCTTATCTCATAAGCTTCTTTGTGTTGCTTTTCGAATAATCTCGTTAATATTTTTATTTCATCATCTAATTTTACCAAACACTTTTATCATATAAGATAGTTTTTCAGCTATAAGTCATAAGTTATAAGTTATAAGCTCGAAAATCACTTAGGCTATGTTTGATAGACAAATAATCTAGCTTATAACTTATTTTGTTAGCTTATAAGCTTCTTGTATTCAAATAGGCTTCGTTTGGTAGGACGAACTTTTTTTTAAAGAGCTCGAGCTTATCTGATTATAATCTTCTTTGGATAGCTTTTCAATCAACCTCGTTGAAATTTTTATTTCAGCCAACTTATCAGTTAATTTGACCGAACACTTTTATCATATAAAATAATTTTTCAGCTATAAAGCATAAGCTATAAGCTCGAAAATCAGTTATAACCTATAAACTAACTTATCAACTATTAGATAGCTTATCAACTAATTTTTCCCAAACACAATCTTTATCGTCCACGTCATCATTCAAGTGGTAGATTTTTGGATATCAATATAAGTATTTATAAATTAACCACCCCCATTTTTATTTATCACCAATTAAGGCCCAAACCATGAGGTTCACTGAAATCTCCCATTTCAGCCACACCAACCACAAGCTCAAATTCCACCGGGCGGAGGCTCCCTTCAAATGCGACGGCTGCAAGGAGATTGGGATCGGCTCCGCCTACAAGTGCGGCGGCGCTGCCTGCGACTATGACCTCCACACCCACTGCGCCGTCCCTTCCCCTTCCATTGCCCACCCTTTCTACACAGGTTGCTTCTTCCAGTTTCTCAGCCGGCCGCCGGGGACGGCGGCGCGTTACTGCAACGCGTGCGAGCGGCCAGTGACTGGATTTCTGTACCACTGTAAGCTCTGCGGCTTCGATCTCCACCCTTGCTGCGCCAAGCTGCCTATGCTCATCGACGATGGCGACATCAAGTTGCGTCTCTACAGTTCGGTTACTGCGCCCTGCCACAGGCAAGTTCTCATACTATTGTTTTTACTTAATTACCATCTTGCCCTTTTTCTTTTTCTTTTTCTTTTTGTTTACTAAGAAAAAGGATAAAACATAATTAGTTGTATATATGATAAAAATAAAATAAAAATAGAACTAATTTTTGAAAGAAATACTTTTGGTTCTTGANGTGTACGTGCAAATATGTACATAAAATATTATAAGTAATATTTGAGAATTTAATATTAAAATTTTAAATAATGAACATATTATATTTTTAAAATTTAATCATTAAGAAAAATAAATTAAGGATTACTTATTATTATGAACAATTATTTATTATCATTAGATAATAGCAGTTTGATTATTATTATTATTATTATTATTATTACAAAAATAATTGTTTATAAGATTTTAAAATTGTTTGACTATACTATTAAAACAATTTACTAATTGTTTTTAAAGAAATTTTTTCATGAGATACAAAAGAAAAAGATAATATTGATGTTAAAATAAATAACTTGAAACAATTGTTTATAATTATGCAATTTATATTCATTGTGAATTATTATTAATAGCATTAATTATTAATAATATAATAGAAAAATATATGATTACACTCAATAGGATGAATTAATGTGAGAAGTAAAAAACATTAATGATAAATTTTTAACCGAAAATGGAGAAAAAGTTTAGGTCTGTTACATAGGTTTTCTTAAATGCTATTAGCTAGTAATTATATATATAGAAATTCGTTTGAATTAGTCTTGTAGATATACTCCCGACATGCAGCGAATATCACAAATCAGATTATGACAGTCAAATTTAGAAGATATTAGCATCATTTTGACTTTAAATCATTGACATTTGTTACCAAATCATCTCATCCATATTTAGACAAACTGGCAATTTTTTTGACTTCAATATTACTGAATATGCAATCAGTAATAAAACTAGAAAAATTATTCCAAATTCGTAATTATTCTTATTCTTCTCTTCTTTTTTTCTCCCACTAAAGAGAATAAACAATTCCATTAAATTATTCAATGTTTTGAATATTGTGGCATCTATCTATCTATCCATATCAGGTGCGGGCGGAAGGGGAGGAGCTGGAGCTACAGATCATCATGCAAGAAGTACAACCTACACGTGGCATGCGTTAAGGACATGCTTGTTGACAGCTGGCACGAGCTCTATGATGGTGTCAGCTACAGCGACAAAAGCGGAAGGCGGGTGCCCAGCCTGAAAGCCACGCTGGAGGCCCACACCACTCACATAAGGCCCAAAGGCAAAGCCCAAAAATGCTGTGAGGTGGCTGGGCTGGCCCTTCAGTTTGTGGTCTCGGCTGTTCTTGGGGACCCCACTACTCTCATTGCCGGTATTGTGGGCACCTTAATGTCAAAATAAAATAGTATGACATGGATACTGTTATAAATTATAATTAAAAACAATAAGTGAAACTAATGTCCATATGTGATGATGTGAATATATATAATATATGTGTTGTCATAAATATGTGGATTCGGTTTTCTTGATTTTGGATTGCATGTTATGTAGATTGATGAAAGTTCTCAAAATTTCCAGATGCAGTGAAAATTACCGAGTCGGTCGCTAAAGTGTAACAATTAAAAATTTCTAAACTGAGATCGTGCGCGTTCATAAAATTAACCAAGTTCATCAGCCAAAGCAGGATATATAATATGAACAAAACATCAAAATAATATTGAACGAGACATTGAACAGTGTGATTGTATGAACAAGAGAGGAAAGCTTCTGTAAACAGAGGAGAAGCAAAAAAAGGAAAAATTAAGCTAATGAACCCTAATCTTCTCTTTTATATTAGAGAGAAGATAAACCTAATGGACTAAACATAATGGGCTAAATAATACTACAACATAAAAGGCCCAATACAATGTTAAACTACAATAAGCCCAATAATGATATAAAACCCAATTACATAGTTGTTACCCCCGCAAGAGGAACATGTATATTGGTCATGTTCATCTTGGATAATAAGTAGTGAAAGGGCTGAGGCCCAAGTGCTTTAGTTAGAATATCAGCAACTTGGTCCTTAGAAGAAACATGGTGAAGCTGGATGATGCCTCTTGAAATTTTCTCCCTGATGAGGTGACAGTCAATCTCGATGTGTTTCGTCCTCTCATGAAAAATGGGATTATGGGCCATAGCTATAGCTGACCTACTGTCTGAAAAAATAGACACTGGAAAATGGTGTGAGATTTTTAGGTCAGAAAGTAAATATAGAAGCCACTGGGCCTCACAGGAGGCTGAGGCTAGGGCTCTATATTCACTTTCTGCAGAGGATCGGCTGACAGTAGTTTGTTTCTTAGATTTCCAGGAAATAAGAGAGTTCCCCAAAAAAAACATGAAACCAGTATACTTTTTCTTGAATCAACACAGCCAGCCCAATCACTATCACAAAATGAATGTAAAGAAAGTGAGGAAGATCTGGGAAGAAGAATACCTTTGCCCACAAACTGTTTAATGTACCTTAGAACTCTTTGTGCTACAGCCATGTGGATGGTAGTTGGAGTGCTCATGTGTTGACTTAAAGCATGCACACTATAAGAAATGTCTGGTCTTGTAATAGTTAGGTAAAGCAGCCTGCCAATTAGCCTTCTATAGGATGTTGGATCTATGGATTCATTACCATTTTCAGCAAGAGAAGTGAGTTTAAGGTTATTGTCCATAGGTGTACTAGCAGGTTTGCTTCCCAATAAGCCAGAATCAGATAGTATGTCTAGGGCATATTTTCTTTGGCAAAGATTTATGCCTTTTTTAGAATGAGCAACTTAAATGCCTAGAATATACTTATGTTGACCAAGATCTTTGATGGTAAAACAGGCATCCAAATGGTTTTTAATGGCTATGATTTGATCAAGGTTATCACCAGTAAGTATAATATCATCCACATATATAAGTAAGGCCAAAAAATGATCATCAGATTGTAAAGTAAATAATGAACAATCAGATATGGATTGGCTGAAGCCATAATTCAGTAAACAAGTGGTTAACTTTTGAAACCATTGTCTAGAAGCCTGTTTAAGGCCATATAGACTCTTTATGAGTTTGCAAACTTTAGAATTATGAGAGGAGTCAGACAAGTAACCAGGGGGTGGGTACATATATACTTCCTCATTGAGGTCACCTTGCAAGAATACATTGTTGACATCTAATTGATGTACATGCCAGTGTTTTATGGATGCAACAACAAGGAGTAGTCTTACAGTGGTTATTTTAGCAACAGGAGAAAAGGTATCAAAATAATCTATACCTTCTTCCTATGTATAACCCTTTGCTACCAATCTTGCTTTATATCTTTCTACAGATCCATCTGACGTATATTTTATTTTAAAAACCCATTTACACCCTATAGTGTGTTTACCAGTAGGTAAATCTGTTAAAACCCAAGTATTAGTTTTCTCAAGAGCTTGCAGCTCTTTGTTCATGGCTTCTTGCCAAAGTGGGTCTTTAACAGCTTGTTTGTATGTTTTGGGTTCAGTCAGTGTGGAGATGGATGCAGTAAAACATGCATGAGATGATGAAAGATGTGATGTAGAAAGATGGTTTTCAATGGGATATTTTACAATACCATGAGATGTTCCAGAAATGTTATTTTGTGCTTCACTGAAAATAAGGTTAGAAGATGAAGGGAGGGAATGTTTGTATATGTTCAGGTAAGAGGAATAGTTCTTGTTCTGGTTGATCTTCTATGTGGTGAAGAATTAGGTTGGGGAGCATGGCTTGGAGAAGACAGTAAACCAGGTGAGGCAGGAGGGCCTGTAGGTATGATAATAGAAACAGGTTCTGTATTTACTGTATTTTGGTTGATAGGATTGTATTTGATAAGGTCAGAAGGGAAATCTGTGGGAGTAGGAAACATAGGGGAATTTTGTTGAGTGTCAAAAGAAGGTGGCTGTTGAAAAGAAAGCACAATTTCATAAAATATAACATTTCTGGAGATTATAATTTTCTTGGTCTCCAAGTTGTAAAGCCTATAACCTTTACAACCTAGTAGATATCCAAGCAATATGCACTTTGATGCTCTAGGATCAAACTTAGATCTGGCTTGTTGCAGAGTAGATGCAAAACGTAAGCATCCTATGACTTTGAAATGATCATAGGTGGGTTTCTTTTGAAAAAGAAGTTCAAAAGGTGATTTACCATGAAGAACATTGGATGGGATTCTATTAATGATATGAGCAGCAGTAGTGATACAATCTATCCAAAAATGTAAAGACAAATGTGCATGAAACATGATTGCCCTAGCTACTTGTAATAAATGCTGATGTTTTCTTTCTACTCTGCCATTCTGCTGTGGTGTTTCTACACAAGATGTTTGATGAATGATTCCATGAGAATGGTAAAAATTATGCAAAAGAAACTCAGTACCATTATCTGACCTAATGATTTTGATTTTTTTGTTGAACTAAGTTAGAATAAGGTTGTAAAAATGTTGAAGATAATGATGTGTGTCTGATTTCAATATCAAAGAATATATCCATGTGGTTCTAGTGAAATCATCCACAATTGTGAGAAAATATTTATGACCAGAGATAGAAGGTACAGAAAAAGGACCCCAAAGATCACAATGAATCAAGTCAAATGCAGCAGATGTAGTAGATGTGCTAATGTGAAATGGTAATTTCTTTTGTCTGCTAAAATGACAAATGTCACAGGGATTGTGCATATGAGACTTGCAATTAATAGATAAAGGCAATTGTGAAAGCTTATGATATGATAAATGTCCAAGTCTGACATGCCATAGTTCAGAATCAAGAGAAGATACATTTGCAGTATTAGCATCAGAATTATTTGCAACATGAATATCAAAAGTATTTGCAACATGAGTATCATTATGTAAAGACAAATGGTATAAGCCATTCTTTGCTTCAGCAAAACCAATCATTCTGTTGGTTTTGAGATCCTGTAAGATGCAATAAGAAGACAAAAAATTGACACTACAATTATTTGTAACTGTTAGTTTAGAGACAGATATGAGATTGAAAGTAAAAGTTGGAACAAATAACACATTATACAGCACAAGATTAGGCCCCAGATTAATCTGTCCCACATGGCATGCATAAGTGTGTTTTCCATTTGGTAAATTAATCTTAACAGAGATAGATGTAGGAGGAGAAGAGTATAAAGATATATCACATATCATATGGTCAGTAGCACCAGTATCAAGAATCCAAGTTGATGTAGGAAAATTAGAATGAACAGAACATGAAACATGTAAGTTACCTGCTTCAACATTTGCAGATGTGGAAGAAGTGAAAGCAGTAGCAACCACAGGAGATGAAGGAATTTGTGGCTGTACTGTGGCTTGTTTAAGAGTCTGTGATCTCTTAAAATCTAAAAACTCATGAAAGAGAGCATCAGTAATGTTTGGATTAGTGTTTTCAGTCATGTTTTGATTAGGAAATGAAGAGGAGACAGAGTTGGCAGCTGTGTGAGATGGATGAATTCTTGGTCCTTTAGGGCCAACCCAATTGGGGGGATAACCAATAACTTGATAGCATCTTTCAGAGGGGTTATTGTAGCCACAGTGTTGACATTTGAATTTCTTTCTGTCTTTAGAGAAGGGTTGGGATTTCGGTTGAGAAGGTTGGAATTTGATATGAGTTGGAGGTTTGGTAAGTAACATAGCAAGGTGATCAGAAGTTTTGTTTGGGATATGTAGGTTTCTTTGGCTTTCTTCTTGAAGGAGGAGTGAATACACTTTGGACAGAGATGGAAGTGGTGTTGATAATAGAAAATGACTTCGCAAGGATGAAAATGAGTCATTAAGACCAATGAGGAATTTCATAACAGAATCAGACTGTTGAGCAGCGCACATGGCATCAAAAATATTGCAAGTACATGAATTATAAGCACCACAAGTACAACGAATGACAGGACGATAAGTAATGTACTCATCCCATAGAGATTTAAAGGAATTATAGTTCTGTGTAACAGATAAAGAGCCCTGGTCCATAGAACTGAGGGATTTTTCAAGTTGAAAAACCCTAGGACCGCTACTTAAAGCATATCTCGATTTAATTTCATCCCAAACATCTTTGGCAACAGTGAAAAAGAGCAAGGATTGACGAATATCTTTGGACACATAATTAAGAAGCCACGAAAGAACCAGATTATTCGCTCGAATCCAAGCAATAGAATCAATAGGAAATTGAGTAGGAGAGGGGACCGAAACAGTACCATCAATGAAGCCAGCTTTATTTTTAACACTGAGAGCCATGAGAACGGCTCGAGACCACGAAACATAATTGTCTCCATTGAAGACCTCGGCAACTATGAGTGCACCAGGATTGTCACTCGGGTGAACGAAAAATGGAGAAGACGGATCATCAGTCGACAGAGAAGTAACAGTAGCCATAGATCGTGATTCCAAAACGTCAACCGAAGATGGAAAACTCAAATCTTAAGGTTTGAAAAAATAGATCTAGGGTTACGAGAACCAGATCTACGAATCCAAATACTGATCGAGATTAAAAAAAAATGATCTAAACGATGCAGCGGAAGATAAAAACATAAAGGATCGATTGAGACTCAGCGATTGATACCATAATATGAACAAAACATCAAAATAATATTGAACGAGACATTGAATAGTGTGTATTGTATGAACAAGAGAGGAAAGCTTCTGTAAACAGAGGAGAAGCGAGAAAAGGAAAAATTAAGCTAATGAACCCTAATCTTCTCTTTTATATTAGAGAGAAGATAAACCTAATGGACTAAACATAATGGGCTAAATAATACTACAACATAAAAGGCCCAATACAATGTTAAACTACAATAAGCCCAATAATGATATAAAACCCAATTACATAGTTGCTAATATATAAAGAAGAGTAAAGTATTAATGATTCTCTTAAAATTAAAAGAATGATAAATGGAGATTTTTAATCTCTTTCTTGTAATCAAGGACAATGAATAAAAGCAAGAACAAAGTATTTGCTAAAGAACAAACAACGAGAAATTAATAAGGAAAAATAAATTTTGATTTTATTGAATTGTGAAATTACGCTTGTCGCTTGTAAAGAACATCTTTGGGCCTTTTTCCAGCAGCCCAACTCTCCCAACCCATTGAACCGTCAATAGCCCACCCCATTATTCAGCACCCCCAGCCCACTCAACCCCACACCACTTCTCAGCCCACACACTCAATCCGAATCCCTTACAACCCACAGTCCACCTTACTTGCAGCATCAACCCTCCCTCCCTCGGATGCCAACTCAGGCGGCCGCCGGCAGCCGGTGACCTCAACGCCGGCGACTCCCGGACCACCAGAGTTACGCAATTTGGCGGAGCTCCTAATGCCGGCGACTCCCGGACCACCCGTTTCATCAGCAACTCGGCCCTGATCACCGGAGCTCCTAAGTCCGAACAAGCTTCGACGGGCACCATTCCTGGCTCTTCCACGGCCCTCGGGACCTTCCCGACTTCTACATCGGCAACACCGGCCTCGGCTCCCGCCGGCCACCGATCTTTTAGGGATATGATCACCGGCCAATTCGCCGGTAAATCGGGCATCGCCAAATTTGCCGGTGCAACAGAGCATCGGAGATTCACCTTTGACAGCTGTCAGGACAACCCTCTTTTACAACTCCGATTTCTCTCCCTCAACTTAGGCACCTCTAGCCCCAGTCTGGTGTCGACTCCCTGGTCTTCTTCCCCATCTTTATGGCCCTTCTGTTCTGTTTTCTATTGTCAGTTGCATCGGCAACCCAATTGAGGTTGATGCAGCCACGACGAGCTCGACCAGACATGGAAGACCACCATTCTGAAGGTGGTCTACGAGAGAGTTCTGCCATATTGCACAATGTGTGACCACGTGGGTCACGTTGGGGCTGATTGCTACACTAGTGGCAACAAAGCCCCGACCAGTGCTTCTGCCGCATCGCCGTGCGGCCAGATCAGGACCCTCAGCTATTCTGGGGGATCACAAGGGATAAGGTAAGGCCCCTGTGCGCTCGTCTGCGTCCCCAAAGAGGACCAAAGATAAGGGTAAAGTTATTGTGGAGACCACCGCCCAGCCTGAAAAGCCTGTTATGCCTGACAGGCCTAAGTCCACAGGTTTCTTTCATCCCCAGACCCTCCAGCAGGTCGTTAAGCCCAACCATTCGAACTTTATTGTTCTCTATTCCGAGCTAGAGGCGGAGCTAGATGACGACCTCATAGATGACGAGACAGATCAGCCTGACATGTGAGTGACAAGTCCATGCCTCCTCACGACGCCAGTTCCCATCAGGCGGCTCCTTCCAGTGAACTTATAAATTCTATTTTTTTGTTAAAAAAAAAAATCTTATTTTAGTATATTATATAAAAATAGAATGTATAATAAAATTATTANTTTCGTATTTTCTTTATATAAATAAATACATAAATATAAGATTACATTTCCATAACACAAGGAAATGCTACAAAACATTAATCCTAAAACAACACCAATATTATGTCTACTTATTTATGTCCAATACAATATTTCAGGCAACTCCTACTCACGCGTAGGACTAAACACACCTAAAACCAACAAATACCTATTATTCATGGACCACCAATTCAACATACTAAATAATACTAATTCACAAAAAACAAACACTAGTAAAATAATTCACTTCTGAGGATGTTTAATAATCCTCTGTAGAATCACAGTCCTTGCCCTCCGAATGTCCCTGCCGCAATTATCCACCTGCACCCCCAACTCCTCGATATTGCTCATAAACCCCTCCAGCCTGGCCCTAATCTCCTCCACCGCTATTTTCACCTGTGCCCCTCCATTCTCATCATTCGCGAAATCGGCACTTCCCATTAGCGACTCGATATCAAGCTCCAGCCTATCAATCAGCACCCGAATACTGTCCAGATCCTTAATTGCCACGTAAGTCCCGACATTCATCGAGCTCACCACCTCTTTCTGCCCTTTCACCGCCGCCTCGTAATTCTTCAATAGAGAGTCGATCCACTTCCCCATCGACCCCAACGGGACGGAGGCCGCCGCCGCCACCGCGGCCGCCACCGGCGGCGCCGCCACGGCCGCCGCCACGACGGAGCAGATGAGGACGGCCGCGAAAGTGGCGGCGAAGATGGCGCCGGAGATCCTCCGCCACGAGCGTATGTACTTGAGCCGCCGGTCGAGCCGGGTTTTCCTCGACTGGAGCTTTTCCAGCATCTGGATCTGATGCTGGTAAACCGATTGGAAGATCTGGAAGAACTCGTCGGTAAACGGGTCGCCCGCGGCCCGGAAGTTTCGGAGCTCCGAAAGGGTTTTTGTGTATTTTTCCGCGCTGTGACCATTTTGCCCCTCGTTCTCCTCTTCGAACAGCTGGAGGGCAACTTTGAGGAGGAGCTGACTGTCACGCGCGCGCTTGAGGCATTTTTCGAGGGATGCGCAGAAATCGAGCGTTTTAAGGCTATTGTCGAAGTATTCTTCCACCAGATCGAATAGTTCCTCGTTTTTCCATATGTCTTTCTTGCAGTCAAGGATCACCTAAAACACAAATATAATCCCAAGAGTTGGAAGATGTATTAAATTAAATTAATTAATCAATTAATAAACATATTGATTGTCAAATAATTACAAGTTTGGACCTAATTTTTAACTACCAAACGATATGCAAATTGGCCTAACTATATATGTTTTTTTTATCTATTTTTTTGATTTAGCCAAATTTGGTACCAGAAGAACAGAAAAAAATGTATCTGGATATAATATAATTAAACCGGAGAGTTATGCGAAATTTAATTTACCTTGACAACTTCTTGGTTTAGTTCGAGGAGGCACTCTGTGGTTTGTTTGAGGGATTCGAAGGATAAAGCCTTGACCTCAATGCCTTCAGCAAGTGAGTTGATGACAGTTTTAGTCCGCGTTTGGAGTGTGGTGTCAAAGGACTGTAACTCGAGGTCGATTTTGCATGCAGCCTCGTATGAGGAGAGATGATCGGTTGTGTAGTGAAGAGTAGTGTTCATCATAGGGTTCGAGACCGTTGGCTTCTTGCTCATGTGGTTTCCCATTCTTGTATGAATACTATTCTATCCCTGCCAAAAATAGTTGAACATTCATGTTGCTTTGAAGATACATATATAATGTATTTTATATTGTTAGAACAAGATGTGAAAATAAAATAAGAGAGAGAATATATAGGTAAAGAAACAAAAAATTGTAGACATGAGCATTCAAGATCAAGATTCAAATGAAGAACCTAGCTAACAACATAAACACTACTATAAATACTCCAACAAACCAAAATCATAAGAAATTTTAAGTTATTCAATATACATACTTCATAGACGAATGACCGGGAATCAAGCTCTCGCACGATCGAACGCAACTGATATTCCAAAAATTTATATATGTCAATATAA